TAAAACACCAGTGGCATAGCCCTCAGAATCACAGCAGCTCAAACCACCACAGCACGACAGACAGACGAGTGGTGGCCATTTGGTTTTATGTCTATACTGTCTCTTTAAATTTCCATGTCACTCTTGATACAATCCTGATATAATCAAGATACAATCAAGATGTTCTCTCCTAATCCTATCAATCCTGGTACAATCAAGATAAGCTTTCTCAAGAAGAAGTCCCTGGTCTTGCAAAATTCTATCATAGGATCTCCAGCATCATTTCTATCAGTAATGTCATATTTTCCAACTATTGGTCCTTCTTCTTTGTTTGCAACCTTTGCAGTCTAATCACCGGTAATTATCAGTATATCATGATTTCATGTTTTATCAATTTCAGCCTGAAGAAGTTGGTAGACTTTTTCAATTTCATCATCACTGGCTTTAGTGGTTGGTGTGTAAATTTGAAATAATAGTGGTATTAGCTGGTCTTTTAAGAGTATGGATATTATCCTATCACAGACAGCACCGTACTGAAATGGTCTTTTGAATAATGAATGCAACACCATTCCTCTTCAATCTGTTATTCCAAGCATAATAAACCATATGATTGTCTGATTCAGAATGGTTAATAACAGTCCATTTCAGCTCACTGATGCCTAGAATATTGAACCTTATGCATTCAGTTTGATTTTTTACAACTTCCAAGTTTCCTAGATTCATTCATACTTCATACATTCCATGTTCTGATTATTAAGGATATTTGCAGCTGTATCTCCTCATCAGCTAATGAAGGTCCCAAAAGCTTTACATCATTTACGTCATTATAGTCAACTTTACTTTGGGGAGGCAGGTCTTCCCCAGTCTTTTTTTGAATGCCTTCTAATCTGAGGAGCTCTGGCACTACATCTGACAGAATTCTGCTGCAATTCATAGTGCTTTCATCTTCTGGTACTGTACTTGACAATGTTCCACTGCTATTCATAAGGTTTTCTAGTGTCTAAACATTCAGAAGTAGTCTGTCTTTACTACTTTCTAGTCTGTCTTAGTCAGGAAGCTTCATTGAAGCCTGTCCACCATGGGTGACCCTGCTGGTATTTAAGGTATTCATGGTATAGCTTCCAGCATCACAATAACATGGAAGCCAGCACAGTAGGACATACTGACTGACCAGTGGTGAAACTAGAGCATGTATGTAAATAAATCTTTCACACATGTTGAGTGAAAAAATGAGTTACAAAAGAAAATCTATAAGTATATAACATTATTATAAGATATTAAAACCTATAGAACATAGTTTTTGCTCAATGTGTTGAGTCAGTTCCAACTCACAGCAACCTTGAATAGGGTTTCCCAGGAGTAACTGGTGGGTTTCAACTACTGACCTGGCCGTAGCAGTCCAGTGCTTATCCTACAGCACCATGGCATGACCCCTTTATATATTTATATAAACACATATACTTATATGGGGATAATACAGGAAAGAAATGAAATTGAGTGTATAAGTAAGGTTATTCATATTTTATTTCTTAAAAAGTCTGGTACATGACTGCTTTATATGTCATTCAATATCACTTTTTTAATACATGAAACATTTCATTTTAAGAAAACTACTACTCTGTGTTTATATTTTTCAAATGGTCTCATCAGCAAACATCTTTTTTTTTAAATTGAGTAATTGTTCTTCCACCCCACTTGTTAATTTTTCAGCTCATGTATTATGCTTTGTACTTTTCATTGCTTTCTTCTATTGTGATGACTTTATACTTAAGATTCTTTTTCCTTCTTTAACTGTTAAGATGTGTGAGTTATAGTAAGTAAAAGACCCTTAGTCTTAATTAAGTTGTTACACGTTAAGGTGCTGTATGATCTCAATTTAGTGTCCATAATTAGTTGTTTTATGACAGTCTTTTCTAGCCATCTCATTCCACAGTGTATTTTTTGTACTCTGAAATTGTGTTGATGTTACACAAAACCTATAGATCATATGGTTTAATCAGTTAATCTTCATTTGCCTTCATCCAGTTATTTATCATATATGTCAAATAAATGGCCCAGAAGAATTTGGATAATTTGCATGTGAAAGTGAAACAGTAAGCAGGAATATAGTTTTAGGATTCTTTAAGAATGTCCTTTGAAGGCTGCTGGAAGATTCCATTGTGTTTCTCTTTGGGTAACTAGTTGTTAAGGTGATATGAATTGGTACCCTGGTAATGGAAATCCTTTGACACAGCACCATCCATGTTGCTTTGGTGCCTGGTGCCTAATGACTCAGATCAGGCAGTAATCACTCAGTATATTTTAACTGGAGGATCCCTGGTGGTATGGTGGTTGAAGCGCTTATTTGCTAATCTAAAGGTCAACAGTTCAAACCCACCAGGTGCTTCTTAGGAAAACGGTTTGGCAGTCTGCATCTATAATTATTGTTGTACGAATCAATTCTGATTCATAGTGACCCTACACACAATAGAATGAATCACTGCCTAGTCCTCCGCCTCACAATTGTTATTATGCTTGAACCCATTGCTGCTGCCACTGTGCCATTCCATCTTGATGTGGGGGTCTTCCTCTTTTTCACTGACCTGTCTGTAAGGATTACATCTTTGGAAGCACTCTGGGATTGTTCCACCTTACCCAAACTGTTGCTGTGAGTTAGAATGGACAGCAATGGTTTTTCCCATTTTGGTGAATCACTACTTTGTTGTTAAGTTGCCATTGAGTCAGTTCTGACTCATAGCAACCCTGTATAGGGTTTCCAAAGAGTTGCCTGGTGGATTTAAACTGCTGATCTTACGGTTCAAGCTGACACTGTGGTCCAGTGCCTTACCCTGTAGTTCCATACCAGGACTTCATTACCTTGGGACCGTAAAATTTAAGGAAGTAAGAGCCTCTGCTATTCTGGAGGGGAAAAGGAGGAATAAGTGTTCATTTTTTAAAAGAATAGAATTTGTTAAGCTTAGAGAAGAATTATTTCTTCATAGTATTGCTTATCTCAAAAGGAAAAATACGCAAGTAGATTCTTCATTTGATGTGATGGTATAAGGAATTCAATAGCACTGTTGGGTAGATATGAAATGAAGTATCCAAATTGTAGGGTTCTCAGGCAAGGGGCTTAACTGTTCATCTGGGCCTTGTCTATTTGGGTACCTCTTCAGAGCTAGGGTCCCAACTTGGTGATAAGTATACCTGCTAAAAGGCTCTTTTGGTGTTATGGAAAGGGGCCTTCTCAGTAAGCCCATCCTTGGTTGGTATCCTAGGAAGAAATATGAAAGTTGATAACATATGGCACCATATGCACAGTGGGCTATTTTGATTAATTCAAGTCGTTCATCATAAGGTCTTTTAAAGTATTCTACATTTTTCCATTGATTTACTTTCTGGACATTAAATGGCTGAACACTATCCTGCAGGAGGAACAGTTGAAATCTCATGAGAGCAAGCTGAAGCAGATCACCACCGAGCTGGCTGAGCATCGTTCTTATCCTCCTGACAAAAAAGTGAAAGCCAAGGAGATTGATGAGTACAAACTGAAAGACCATTATCTGGAATTCGAGGTATGTTGAACCAAAATGCAATTAATGCCTAGATTGGAGATTTGCTTTGCTTGTGAGTTTTTATTTTTGTATTTATTCACTCATTCGTCATCTTTACTATCACTGGGAAGCATCTCTTGGCTCTGACTCTAACTTAGGAGCTTCTAGCATGATCTAGGTCATGGTGGTCTTGTTTTTGTTGAAGTGCCAAACAGTTTATGAACTTAGTAAGGAATTCTCTGCCTAGTAAGGAGCTCTGGTACCGTAGTGGTTATGAATCAGGCTGCAAACCTTAAGGTCAGCAGTTCGAAACTACCAGCTGTTCCACAGGAGAAAGATGAGGCTTTTTGCTCCCATAAAGAATTACAGCCTTGGAAACCCTGTACAGGGTTGCTATAAGTCGATTCCAACTCCATGGCACATCACCACCAACACCACTCTGCCTAGTAGAACAAGTGTCTGCTATATGTTGTTGGAAATAGGGAAAGGAAACCTAGAGGGACATTCCAGGGTAGGTAACTGCTTTCTATGCCTCTATAGCCCCCTTTCAAGAAGAAAAAATTAACTACAAAGTGATATGAATTATCAACTTTTTTATCTCAAAAATATTATTAGCATGGTTAAAAAATAAACATTTTCTCAAATAATGACACAGAAAGAATTTATAAACTTGGACAACTATCTATGGCAGTATATCATAATTAATATTTTGGAATTGAATGGACAACTTTATTGCCAGTCTTTGCTTTATTGAAAACAATCGGTATATTTGTTCCATATGAAGTCATGACTATTGCATTGGCTGGGAATGAGCCCTCATTCTGAAGAAATCTATGCTACTGAGCTCCTAAGTGTATCTGCTCCCGTCCCTTTCTTAATGTAGACATTCTTTGGTCCTTCTCTGCTGAGTTTTGATCTTCTCGTCTCTCATCTAAAGAGCCCTGGTAGCGTAGTGGTTACGAGTCAGGCTGATAACCTCAAGGTCAGCAGTTTGAGATTACCAGCCATTCCATGGGAGAAAGATAAGGCTTTCTGCTCCTGTAAAGATTTACAACCTCAGAAACCCTACACAGGGTTGCCATGAGTCAGAACGGACTCCACAGCACACCACCACCGTCTTTCATCTGAACTTGATGCCTTGGCCCGTAGCTATCCTTCCTGTCTTCATTCCACACTACGTGGTTCTGCCAATTATGTGTCAAAAGCTCAACCCAAATTAGGACCTTTTTCTGTTCGACAGCTGTCCTTGATTTTCGCTTTTGTGTACTTCAGTCACATATCTACCCACTCTCCACACAAGCACACTTTAATACCACTGTTCATCTGCATTCTTCCACCCCTGATGGTCTCCCCTCATCTTAATTTCTGAAAGTACTGTTCATATTTCAAGATACAGCCCAAATCTCTCCTATGAAAGCCTACTCTAAACCTATTGGCTGGGATTCAGCTTCGTACTTGCCACACAATGTGCATTATGTTAAATTTCTGAAAGTAGTTCATCTTTCCCCAGGCTTGATCATTTAGGGAAATGGGAGTTCTCAAAAAGCAATCATAATTTTTCACACTTTTGCAGTGGCTTTCAGCCATAGGCCCGTTTGGTTTCACACATACTAATTAAATTTCCCAACCGCTCAGTCCCCTGCATTCAGTACTCAGCATCTAGCTTTGAGGCCTTGGCTCTACAGGCTAAGAGCCTCTTCCCAGGAGGTGGGTGACTGCAAGACCAGAGAAGGGATGCCACTGCTAGAAGTGCCCCCTGCTTCTAAATCTGTTGCCATGCTCCTTCTCTGAAAATGGGACCCAGCAAGAGCCAACATTTTCATTTCCTGACGTGAACTTCGACCAAGTTGTTGAGATTGCATCTTGCTTTCATCCAATCTTCACCTCAAGGATCATGAAAAGTTTACGTTCCAAGACCCTTGACTCATTAGAATCAGTCTCCTATATTAATATGTCTTGCCTGGTGAGTTTTCTGTCAAGCTGAATTAACCCGTCTACTCGATGTCACTTAACAACAGCCCCACAACCAGAAACGTAGAGAGGTTCCTGGCTTTGTTTGGATGCCGTCTAAAAGGCTTTTCATGGAAGTAATGTTTTTGAAAAGTGAATTGTTGTGCCCTACTCTCTTAAACTATAATTGAAGTAGCATATCTTGTAGAGTTCACTTTGCTGTTATTGCAGCCACCAGAATTGTCTAGTGTGAGTATGTTTACGTAAGTATGCAAACATACTTATGTATGCATAAGATCCTTTGCACAGACCTAAGTGCTTTGTTTTAGGAACAATATTCCCTAAGCAGACCACTTTATTCCCTGAACAGGGAGCTGTTGACCATTTAATCTTTTTTGTTCACTCCTCTATTCCCAGCTTACACAGCATTGACTGGAAGCCCAATAAATATTTATTGAATGAATGAATAAATGAAATTTTATTATTTTGTGTAAAAGATAACATCAGAGGAAGTAGTTCTCCCAGAAATCCATCTTAAATATTTTTTTTTCAGAGCCAGCTGCGCCATAAAAACAAATTTGATAGGTAGGTGAGAACAGACAATAGTGTCTGAGTTCAGTGGGGGCCCTCTGATGGACAGTGACAGGAGGGAGGACTTTTTAATCTTGTCTCTGTCCTTGTCATCAAGGAAGAATCACAGGCATGAATTAGCTCTCTCATCTATTCCTGTATTGGGCCGTCATAAAGAGGGCCTCCCTGTGGGTTCAGTTCTTATCCTTTTCTCAAGTCTTGCTAAGGGAAAAAGACTTTAATTTGGCAGAGTATTAAGCTGTTAGTAATAACACAGGGGTGCTTCTAGCTTTATACATTCCACATGGTTATATCCCAAGTTGCTTTGAGTAGAAATGATTGTAAATTCAGGGTTAAAAGAGAGAGAGAGAGAGCAAGGAAACATCCATCTTTGTCTATTAAAAAAGGAATCGCTTTTATTTAAAGCAGCAAATTTCACTCAGAATGAACTGGACTTTTCTAAGCTAATGGCTTTCTATATTGACTGTTTGTCTTGTTTCGATATCCCCAAGCTGTGGCTGTTTTTGTGTTTGTTTGTTTGTTTGTTTGTTTGTCTGTTTGTTTGTTTGTTTCAAACCATGGTCACTGATTCCAAAGGCCTTTGGAATTAACTGTTTTTAATGATTTCACTTGGAATCTAATCTTACTTTTGAATGAGTTGTTAGACATCACAAGGCTACAGTCAGAAACTTATCATTGTTTCTCTATTCTATAAAAGAAATACCACAAATGGTCTCACTTCCTTATGAATTAACTTTTTAAAATCTATTCTTGTTGTTAAGTGCCACTGAGTCAGTTCCAACTTATAGGACCCCATATAGGACTGAGTGATTATGAACCACCAACCTTGTGGTTCATTCCGACCTTGCAGTCCAATGAATCATCCTGCTGCAGAGCCACACCAGGACTCCTAATCTATTCCTTTCCAGTAGCTTCTGGTACATCCATAAGCTTATAATTCCCTGGGATAGATGGGAGGAATCCTGTGACACAGAAGGTTACGCTTTGGGCTGCTAACCACAACGTTGGTGTCTCGAACCCACCTGCCACTCTGTGGGAGGAAGTTGAGGCAGTCTGCTTCTATAAAGATTTACAGCCTCAGAAACCCTGTGGAGCAGTTCTACTCTGACCTATGGGGTCACTGTGAGTTGGAATGGCTTGATGATGGCAATGGGTGGCAGACAGATGGAGTTGTGAATAGACATTTGTAAGAGCTGTAATGTGCCAGACTACAAAGCCGTTTGAACTACAAGGTCAGCAGTTCAAGCTTACCAGCTGCTCCTTGGAAACCTTATACAGGGTTGCTATGGGTCGGAATCGACTCTATGGCACTTAACAACAACAACATAGCCATTTAAAGCTCAGTACATGTTTGGAAAAAAACGTACTTTTTTAAAAAAATAATGCCGCGTTACTGAAAGTCCCTTGCTAGGACTGTGGTTGACCCCCAGTAACTTTCTTGAGCTTGAAAAACAACCACAATTTAAAAGTAAAGATGCTTTTTCATTTTCATTCCAGGATATTCTTCATTTAGCATTTAAGGTGTTTGCTAGGATGAGCTAGACGTGACTAGGGAAAGGGAGAAGCCCAAACTTCCTTAGAAACATGACAGGACTGAGAGGTTTACTGAAGCAGAACGAAATGCCGAGGATCAGGTTAACAGAGGTTCCTGAGGTTCGTATGGAGCAGGGTTGAAAACTGGTGGCCAGTCTAATGCCTCATAGTAGTTACAAGTTGGGCTGCTAGTCTAAAGGTTATCAGTTCGAAACTACCAGCAGTTCCATGGGAGAAAGGTGAGACTTTCTGCTCTCATAAAGATTTACAGCTATCCAGGGTTGCTATGAGTCGGAACTGACTCCACCAGGACTCCTGGTGTGACTCTAGGATAAGCTGGTCACAAGGTCAGTGATTCGAGCCTGTCATCTACACTTTGGAAACCCTATACAGGGTCACAATGAGTCAGAACCAACTCAACAACACTTAACGTGTTTTCTCTAGTCACCACAGTGTTAGCTTTGTTTTCATTGTTACTTGGATGCACCATATTTAGGAAAGACAACCATCTCCTTCCTCCTCCTCTATCACATGTGGCGGCTTGCACTTTAGTGTTACTGGCTGGCCCCTAAAGGCATCTGAGATTGCAGTCCTTAATGTCAGAACTGCAGCCAGGTGTGTACATTTGGTATATTAGTTAAATCTCTGATCAAGGACTTTGGAATCAGTGACATGACTTGAAGATGGATACTTTTAGGTATGTATGTTTCCAGGCTCAAATCCAACAGGAGAAAGAGAATGTTCACTACCCTGATGATACAACCCAAGGACTAAAAATAAAGTTCCCTTGAGTTAATGCAGCTTGCCCTGGTGGTGCACTGGTTAAAGCATTTAAAAATCAGCAGTTAGAATCCATAAACTGTTGCAAGGGAGACATATGTGGCAGTCTCACTTCGTAAAGGCTTCACAGCCTTAGAACCCCTGTGAGGAAGCTCTGATCTGTGCTG